TCTGGAATACGCATGCTCGACTTCACGGTCGGGCATTCTGGGAAAACTACTGTAGATAGACTGTGCGATAACAATTTCGTTTTGTCATACAAATATAGATATGATCAGAATTTACACTAGCTTTCCTGTCTGATATGTGCGATATACATTTCTTACGTTAGAGACAGGCAATACCAGTCTAGATCCGGGTTCTGATTTTTTTTATTTATTGTCTAACCTACACATAAAAGTACAAGAAAAACTTAGGTCATATAATGCCAAGATTCTAGACATCTAGCTTTCCTCTCAGTTATACCACCTTCCTGGATAATTTCGGCAAGCTCGGAAAAAAATCTTTTCAGAGTATGTCGGAAAGACATGTCAGTTTAGTTTTTATCATCTGAAAATACATATGATCTGAAGTTTCGTGTTTTGGTGTCTATCCTGCACGTAAATGAACAAAAAGTAACAGTTACTCGGGTCTTATAAAACGAAGACTGTTATTTCTAAAATTGTAATGAATACCTAGCTTTTCCAATCTACCTTCATTGATTTTTCCGGCAAGTTCGGAAAACCGCCGCAACCTCGGATATGTTTACCGAGATTGCCGGAAAGTTCCGAGAAGATGCGATTGCTAAAATACAGTACCACACTGGAATATTTTAAACTAGGTGCTCATTGCTTCTACTGACCTTTTTCCACCTCCAAATTGAAATTACAGTAGAATACAGAATGCTTAAAGCACAGTTAGGAGTTATGCCATTGCCGACGTGAAGCCCACTCTTAGATTCACCATTCTGAATTATGACCCCACCCCCACCCCCCAGTGCTCCAATGTGCCTTCTTATTAATAATTAATCGATTCAGCAATTTAAGAAATGGTTCAGATATCCTCTGTATTTTATTATGCTACAGCGCTAGCTCACCAATCTTTTTAAAAGATAAGCTTGTTATATGTAAGGTCTATCTACGGGTTAAGTTGCGTTTGAGTGCATGTCTTTTTTAGGTGGATGGTGTTAGTCGTATACAGACATGTAAGTTCGGACATAAAGCAAAATTATCTTACAAATTGAATGAGAAGAATAACGTAATGTTAAAGAGACTTTTGGTACATTTTTTTCTGTTTTTATTTTTCTGTTTTTTTTATGACAAGTTGTGTTTTGTTCTTTTATCAGCTAATTGGTTGTGGGACAATTTTTGGCCCCCCATCTGTGATTTTCAAGAACATAATTTTAATATATTATGTTATACTTTGTGTTCATGTTTGCACAATAATTATTTTTACAAGGCAGATATCTTTAACTCGGATGTGACAAATGAATATGTTTTTATACATCCGCATGTTTTGTTAGATAATTTGTGTACCTATATTTTTTTTTTTTAGTTTGTTGTTGTTGTTGTTTTTTTTTTTGGTTTTGTTGTTGTTGTTGTTTTTTTTTTTTTTTTTTTTTTTTGGTTTGTTTGTTCTTGCGATCGTATTTTGTCATTTAATTAATAAAGACTATTTTCTATTCTAATTTGTGTTCGAGTGATTTATGAAAATTAATCAGAGCCAAATAAATGAGAAGAAATGGGATTTTACAAAAATGTAATTTATGTCTTCTAATGCTTATAGGCAAGCTCACCGCAGCTAGTTTTTGCTAATTTTGTAAAAGTAAAAAAAAACACTTTCATAGAGATGAATAATGTCATTTATTAAAATGACGGTATAAACAAGAACAATTTAACACACAAGAGGGGGATCAGATTCACAAGCTTTGATTATCAGTTACGTAAAATATGATCCCCAAAAAATTGCTACAAAAAAGTACCTGTAAAACAAGACAACCAAAACATCATAAGAAAAAGTTAGCAAAAAGATGGCACATCAAAACAAAATAAGCCAAGTTAGCAAAAGATGGCACATCAAAACAAAATAGGCCTAATATATAATTTTACATGACACATTAATAACCAAATTAATGGGTAGGAATGCTGGGGTGAAGGTGGGCCTTCAAAATAGACCTGCCTCGTGTAAACAGTGGTCAGCTTGCGGGTATCAAAATACAACTGAATGACTCGCTGAGAGCTGACCACGTGACCTTACACCATCCTTGGTTAGAAGCTATTAATACCTCAGCCAAGGCGTGGATCTAAGAATTTTCACAATTTACAAGCATAAAATCCAACTGAAAAGCTCTAAATAAATTACCGCATTAAATACAATTATTATTCTAATAATTGTTGTTTTTCGGACATAGAACAGAATTGTCTTACAGTTTAAATGAGTAGATGTAATGTATAGGAGACTTTTTGTTGCTATTTCGGATAAAATTGCCTGCATCTCTTTCGCCGAATACACTGGATAGTTACGAAATTCATGTTTTTCGGTTTTAATAAAAATGTACTACATGGCATCCCAGAAACCTCATAGGAATGGAGTCAATTACTAAAATACTTGATAAGATATCCATATCTCGTGATTCTATATGCATGAACCATCTTTGATTTTTTCTGGATGTTCTCCTTAACATTGGAATGTAACTTTAAATTGTTTGACAAACGAAATGGCTTCAGTATTTCCATTGTCAACTTTTCTTATTTATGTAGTAATATTCCACTATCACCTTCGTATGTTGTTTACATCTGGTGTTTACATCTTCCAACTTATTCGACCCTCAAAAGCATGGTCTGAGAACCATCAATTTTTAAACCAAGGCAGGCTATTTAAAAATAAGTTGATGTTACAGATATTTCAACAGCCTCGTTTACAGTCAGTATTTCGTAAATTCTACGGTCGTTATAATGACCTTGTTAACAGATATAACCTATCCTTGGGTTGTATTTTTGGCTGACGTGTTTCATACCAAATTGTTAGGTCTTTGTTTTTATACTAAATTTGAATAGGGAATGTTCCGTCTACCTGATCAATACATACGGCTCACGGTGGCGTGCGCGGTCAATAGGAGATGCTTACGACTCCTAGGCACCTGATTCCACCTCTGGAATTTCCTGGGGTTCGTGTTTTTTGCCCTCTTTACAGATTTGTATTGTTTTTGATTTTTTTGAGATCCATCATTGTTCATAATCTTCACCTTTTTCATTATCAAATGAACGAAAAATCACCCTTTTCATCATCAAATAAATGATAAATCTTATCAAGAAGAATCATCTAATCTGTTTGAACAAACACATGTATGTAATTCGGTAAGTTGTCCAAGCAAATAGCTAGTTCTTGTGAACACTTCCTAACAAGAACAATTTCGCCCACTTTCTTCTTACGTTCGAGTTATTTAATTTTTCTTGGAGAAAGAACATTTATTTTATCTGTCAGAACAAAGAACGAAGAACAATTTATTTTAATTGTCAGAACAAACATCTACATGTAATTTTTGCGATCAATTTTTTTTTTGGACTTCAACGCAGCTTACTATTGCATTATATTCTGTATTTATAATTAAAGTAATGACCTTCATGAATTTTTTTGCAATTTTTGTAAATTTGTAAATTTTATCAAGATTCTAAAAATACAAAACGTATAACCTAACAACATAAATAATGAAAGTAATAAATGTATTTGCAAACAAGATCACTATAATGACCCATGAATTTTCGAAATGATGGTACACTTCGTGATCGGGAAGCCAGGGTTCGATTCTCAATCGCCGCAATGCGTTAAGCCTGAGACGTAAACATGGGTACTGAATATTCCTTCGCCAAGCGCAAGTGAAAGTGACCGGTTTTTGAATGAGACCTTAAACATAAACACCGAGGTCCCTGTCACGGCAAGTGTGGCACGATAAAGACCCTTACTGCTCAATGGCCCTGAGTGCCGAGTAAAGGTCTAAATTTGAAGTCCTTCACTGGCATACCAGTGAAAGTGATGAGTGAAAAATTTTTGAATAGGACGTAAAACAATATACAATCAATCAATCGAAATGTTGACAATGATTGAGATTGTCGAAAACCCTGTAACATCAACTTATTTGTTGGTATCATGACTTCGTTTAAAGTTGATCGAACTAATACCATTCTCTAGCGTACCGAATAATTTGGAGGACAAAAAACCATTTGCAGGTGATAGTGGAATATTACTGTAGTTGATAAATGGCCATAATGTATTTAATCAGTTTAATGTCCAAATATGAATAAAGATGATATAGAAAGATTAAGAAAACAGTTTTAACCAATAGCCACTGTTACGAATCTCTTGTGCAATTTTTGTTGTGTGCTGAGTAATCGTTCTAATATATAGAAACGTGTAATGCTGTCATATTACATTTTAATCGTGTGTTCGTCGGTTTTCGTCAGAAAACGCAAGGAAATTGAAAGGTGAAACATAACCTTGGTCTATCGCCTCTTTAACTTTTTATCAATCTGTTTGGATTTGGGCCATTTTTTCAACGGGGGTCAATTTTTTATAGGTTGCACATTATAACAATCTAACACTTGGAGTTCTTTTCTTTAAAAAAACATTTTTCTACGGCAGGGGATCATTTTTCTACGAGGGTCATTAGTTGTCTCTACACTGGGTGACCATCAATTATATGGACTAAATAACGCCAGAGGTGCTAAAATTGGTACAGCGTGATTTTATAGTCTACCTGTGGATGAAATTTCATGGCAATTTGACATTTGGGGTAGTAATAACAGATATTTTAACGAAGAGTTTGTGAAAAGGTAGAATTTGATTTCTAAATTGTGTACAGGTGATGACTGAAAAAAGGAGTTAATTCTTCCAGGTCGTTTCAATGTAAGCTGAAGTAAAGTTAAAAAGACATAGCAAAAATCTCGGCGGAATGCTCCAGGTCAATACAATATGCATGTTTATTATTTCACCGCGTCTTATCTAATAATGTTATATATGAGAAAGTTTGCACATTTGTATTAATTGTTCTTGGTAAAATGTTGACGATTTTAATGAAATGATCTCTTTCTTTTAGGGAGGTAAAGTAAATGTAGCAATAATTACCGAAAAGCCTTCTTGCAGTAAGCTTATAACTTTACATTTTTAATTTTAACATGCTAAAATGTAAACGAAAGAGGCTCCAGCAGTATTCTTTATTCTTTGATAAGACTATAGTAAGAAATTGCTGCAAAGTTTTGTTAATTGCACGGATAATGGATGATTTACAAACATAGGATGCTTGATTAACTTGATTGAGAATTATACATCAAAATCAAAACTTTAATATAAAATCATAATTCATGTTATAATTCATTTCAGGGAGGTAGCCTGATTAGTGCGTTTCACCCTTCTTTTGAGAAACATTAAAGGAAACAAAATGTAGAACTATTTTATCAAACGGGGATCTCAAAATCTTAACCTGGCTCCTTTACTATTTTGGACTCCATATACAGGAACTTATTTGAGATATTGATAATCCCAATATAATTGTAAGAAAGCGGTTAAAGCATGTCTGGGGTTTTTTTACAGTATTTAATCTAAAACTTTGAATCCCCACATTCAGAGTACGTATTATATGTACCATATAACTTTTTTTTCAATTTGGAGGTAAATTAAAGGAAATTAGTTGCAGTGTGTGTACAGTGCTTTGAATGACATGACAATTGCATGAGTGATTGTATTCGATTAATTGCAGCGTGTGTACAAGGTTCATATAGGAAACCTTCCGCATAAAGAATCAAATTATTAGTATCAGACGAGGAATAGTACTCAAGTTACAAAAAGTTATGTTGATAAAAATGTCATTGCTTCCTGAACGACATCTTTGCCTTCTACATCTCTAGTTTTTAACCAATTCAATGCTTTCTCCTCTATCATCTCCCATTCATCTCTTTGTTTTAAGAAATATTTTCTCAAAAATGCAATTGCAAGAGCTGTTGTCCAAACACTGATATCCTGTGGGAAAAAGACAGTATTATTGTATTTGTGTCTAGTGTATGACAATTTAACATGTATAATCTTTACCTGAATAACCAGTTACATGCCTTCTTACAATTCATATTAAAGCACGTTTTAATTGAAATTAAATATAAGTAACATCATCAATAAAAGAATACCGGTAGAAATATTTTTCTCTAAATATGATATTGTTTTGTTTTGAAAATACTTTATATCAAACACATATAAATGTACACATACGGATAATATGTAAGTTCTTTGTGTGTATCTTAATATTACAAATTAAAATCAAAGTCTTGCTATACATATTATTCAATTTACCTGTACCACATCAGATGCTTTTATTTCATCCTGTGATTTGGCGAGAATTTTTGATATTTTCTCTGTTAACTCCCAAGATCCGTCAAATTTCTGATTCTCAATCAATTCTAACATCTTCTCGAGATGAACTCCTTTTATGAAAAAAAGTCGTGGTAAATAATCAAAAGCAAAGACCTGATTTATAACATATACTGTAAATACGTATCATACGTTTACTAGTACTTCTTTTCAACTTTCTAAAGTTTCTTTACAATAAAGCAATTAAATAACATTGGACCTCCTATCCAACAGGAAACATCTCTGGTGAAATGATAAGAAAAGTAATAATATATAAAGGAAATCGGCTAGTCCATATGAAGTGTCCAGGAAATTGTTTTCACATTATTTTTTGTCATTTTAATGGGAATGTATGCCCAGCCTTACCCCGAAGAAGAATTACAAGGTCCACCCTAACCAGACAACCCCAGTTTAAATGAATCGAAGAGTTGACATTGACTTGTAGTTAAACAAATTTATTATGCAAGTGCCGGTAACGCAATGATTTTTTATTGAAATGCTAAAAACTCTCACAGTATAATGCCACTATCTTCCATTTTCTACTCTGATGCATTTACCTGATCTGAAAATTTTTTAAACTTTACCATCTTTTCCTTTTTGTGTGCATAATATATACTTGGCAAGCTTTAATAATCTCTTCATGAATATATATAAATAACTACACTAAATAAGAAATATTTTAGGAATGACTCTAATTCTTGGCCAAATTATTCGAGTATAACCTGGTTTGGGTCAGTTTACGCTTTATAATCCGCGAAGCGGATTATAAAACAGCGTAAACTGACCCAAACCAGGTTATACTCGAATAATTTGGCCAAGAATTAGAGTCATTCCTTATAATTTAATTTTAAAATCATTAAATAACTATGGGTGTAAAATTTCGTTGCTTTTTATTAGTTCAAATTTGCCGCTCAATAATACAACCATAGTAACGGAAGTAATGGAAGTGATGGGAAGCGAGGGGAGGTAAAAACTGATACATAGGCCTAGCAGCCTTGTTGTTTGTTTACATGTGGTAAGATCGAATTATTGTTTGAAGTTAAAGGTACATTTATTAAATCTGGAATTTTCCATGAATCCCGAAGACTGGAAATGAGAGGACTGTATGGATACAGATGATTCGGCTGGTTGTCAGGGGTGTGTGTCCCCATACCAAACCAGGTTATACAGAAATAATTTGTGTTCCTTTTTGGATATTAACCAATCAGAGGCTAGAATACAAACAAAATTAAATTATATTCTCCTAGTTCATTTCACGTTGAATTAAAATTCAAAATAGTCCTAAACTTAGGAGTCATGAATTAGAATTCTGTTTGTTATCATTCTCCATATTTCATTTTTAATCTTACGCGTTCAATATGCATGTTTCAGTTAAACACTAACACATGGAACACTCAGTTTTTTTTTTATCAGAATCTGCATGAATGATAAAAGATTAAATTATCTTAAATATTCAACGTACATGTAATTTCCCCACAAAGAGTCGAATGCAGTTTATTCTATACCAAATAGGCATTTCTTGCCTTTTTTTTAAATCGTTTATTTATGTGAGTTTCTTTTACAATTCTTAAAGAACCCTTAAGCCATTTAACAGTTATTTTTTATAAACCTTACATGAAATTGCTTTTTTGTAAATAATCGATCTGTATCTTTATTTAAGCGCTGTCTACGATTTGCGCATACCCTTCATTCTCTTTCAGAAGTTTTGAGATACTTTACTGTTCCCGTTCCAAGTGACTTTCGTGCGTTTTTTGTTTCGTTAAGTCTTGTAGCATTTCTCATAAACCATATAGCGTTTCATGTAATCCCCTAGCTGCAATAATGTAGCCCACTCCGATTTTTTTAATCTGATATTTTCAGGAGAGGGCTACAATTCCACTGCATCTCCGTAATAATGCAAATATATTTTTTAGATACTGGCGACTGCAGGCAAAATAAATTGTTTTTGCATTCAAGTTACTTCCAATAAGACGGAATTTTTATTCACTATCAACATCATAGCCCTTTATACGCGAAAACTAAGTAAAATAAATCTGCGTGTTTACTAGTCGTTCTCTTCAGCAGCCATGACAGTTCTCGCGTGATGTACTGAGACTTGCGCTTGAAACTTAGAATCACTTGATAAAGTAAATGTCGGTGTTGATAAATGTTTGTGTTGTATGATATCACTAAACATCGATAAATAAAAGCATTCTATTGGATTTTTTTTTCATAAACAGTGATATTTATGCTTAAAATAAGGGAAATCCTAAACGAACCGCTCCCCTAGATCCCGAATTCTCATTGGTTGTCCCCAAATAAAATCGATCAAGGTCAGTAAACATGCCGGATAAATTTAAAGTGTGATGTTGACATACACGAAAAATAACCGATATACGGATTGTTCTGTATATTTTTGGATCTATTCATGTCTTGCATATCTACATTTTATGAGTTCAGGTAAGATATGTCAATAAAATACCAACTTACTGATAATTTGAGCCGAAATCTGTGCGGTAGTGAATCACTCCCGCACTTGCACAATTACGGAGATCCTAAGGAGTTGTAGCCCCCCCCCCCTCCCCAACAAAAAAATCGGAGAGGGCTACAATGTACATTATTGCAGCTAGTAATCCCCCTAAGCGTTTCATGCAAACCGTACAAGAAGAATGCAAGAATTATGTGAGAAACATGCATATATTCCATGCAAGAATGATTTTAAAACATCCCTGTCACATTCAAGAATCATATTCGAAACATGTAGAAAAGGTGTAAGATTCAATTAGAAGTCAGTTCTGTTGTAATATTGCCAGCAAGGTTTGCTTGTTGTTGTTCGAATTCATCACATCAATAGTTCTTAAGTATCAAAGTTCAGAGAATCTAAAAGAACAACTATAAATTAACGACAGACCTGTATTTTATATATACATGTATAACGAATATTACCGGTCTCCAACTCTAGGTCTGCTAAGTCCGGAATATCAAGATCCATCCTGCAGTCAGCTGAAAAAGAGCGTTTAGCGCTTTTCTTTGCCATGGAGGGAGCACTGCTTCTGCATGCTAGCATCCTTTTCTTTTTTGGTAAAATATCTGTGGAATAAAAATGTGTTCAAAACGATCTTCAAATTAATAAGTTGTCCATAATAAATGAAAATAATTTTGTTTAACAAACCCGTAATGTAAAAGATATTTTTAGCACTCACGTGAACAAAGCTTTGCCACCTTGCCCATTAGTCCTGGTGCATATCTTAACTTTGGTGCAGCACATGAATGTAAATTGAACCCAGCTTCGTATACTTCATCCTTGTAGTAGTCTATATCGCAATATTTCCCTACAATTTCTTTGCTATTTATATCTACACCAACAAACGCCGTATGCTTGCACGTTACATTGACTTCCGTACTTAATGACACCATCAATCTCTCTGAAATTGACCCAGAATATGAAATGTAAATTATTTAATTATCTACTGTGACATATACATAGCTAGTTCTATTCTATTCTATATGTATTTGATATTGTCAAATAAGTTTGTAAATGGAAAAATATAACACCGTCTTTTTATGCTTACTTAGAAGTACTTAGATATTATAGAAATATAGAGTTTTTTTCCTCCTTTTCCCTCTCTCATAAGAAAGCAGACATGATAAAGCGAAGTTGGGATTTTTTGAAAACATTTCTCAGTCTGTGAAGGTTTAAATGTTATGAGAAAAAAATGCTATTATTTTTTTTTTTTTCAAAATTGTTCAAATGGATATCTTTTCTTTATCTATCATGTGGAATATTTGTATTTATGCCATTCCATTGTAAATTTGTAATGTTTGTATAAAAACGCATGTTATGATGGAAATAAAAATATGAAAGACCAAAAAAAATTCTGTCATATCCCTGTATATGAGGCTGTCCCAAGAGCACAAAAATATTGGCATGGTGCCAAGAAATGATAATGATTCATTTTTTGTCAATATTCAAGAAAATATTTCTAAGAAAGTGACGCTTCTTTTTTCAAAATTTTGTGTTATTAAAAACCTATAAGATATTATCCCTGCAATATGTAATATCCACCTTTGGACTCTCAAGGACATAAAAGTAACATCGTAATGAAACTATACCAAATTCAAATGATAGAAAATTTGGTGGTTTTATAAATTTAACTTTTAAAATACTTTAAGTGAACTTCATGTAATATATTAACAAATATATATATAATAAAAAAATATTTTGAATTTTATTAAAACTATAAATAAATATTTTCCATGATTTTTCCTGAAAAAAGCTCCATATTTTACAATTTACATAGATTATTTTGAGAATTATCTCCCCTGTTGCGCTCTTCTGTAGAGAAGGTAAATTATGATGTTATGTCAGAGTGATGATGTCAACAGACATCTTTCAGCTAATCGTTTTAGGCATGAATTATGTGTGATTTCAAGAAATCTGTCCCTTCCTGTGAATGTAACTTGTTAGATGCTACCTATAAAATATATGAATGTGATAAAGACTTTTCAAATCACTTGAATACAGTTCAAAGAGTTGAGGAATAAGAACATCAGAAATCAATGTAGGCTGTCCGGGGTACTTAGTTCTTTTGTACAGGGCTGGTCTATTTGTTACTGAAAAACACTTACTTCTTTTGAAA